GATGTCATTAGGTCACGGAAGATAACTCGTTAAGGTAACTTGTTCAACTATTGAAACTATTTCATATTCATAGTACATGTACCTACAAGTAAATCATTAAAGACAAATATCTGTTGTAAAGACGTTATCAATCTTAACTGCACTAAAAATACTATTACTACCAGAGGAAAAGCCCTATGCTCCACAAGGAACGAAGAGGACTAAGTAAGTAAGTACTAGAGGAAAACAAAAAATGTACAAAGATCCAGTGGCCATTGCAAGGTCAAAAGAAAGGATAAAAAAGTTAAACAGAATTAACTCTAATCCTCGACTCTTGTACAACTCCTTGAAAGTTAACAAACACAAGTTGCCAAGCTTACAAGTGTCAAAGAAATTCTTTTTTGTCAGTTACAGAATGGCATCAGTGTCTGTCATAGTTACCACATATACAGTAAAAAACGCGATGTAATCATCTTATGCATTACGACGAAGGTTGATTAGCAACAAGCAATATGACCAAGTCGATTAGCAACTAGCACGTGCCTCTACACTACCACAAATATGACTAATTAATTAATTGAAACAATCATAAGAACAGAATATTTTTAGTGCTTCCATCAATTTAAGTGTGTTTTACTTTTGGAATTAATAAGATAATGGTGTAATACACACGTGTACAGTAACAATATGAGTATTGGGTTTACCTCATTAAGAACCCAATCCATAAGAAATACATGTATATTTTTATGACAAAATTGAAATCATTTTCAAAAAACATTAAAGATCGATCTGGTATACCTGACTCATGATTACGTAGATGTGGAATAGGGAAAATTACTTCTTTTCTACAAAATTTGTTTAAATCAGTTTGACTTCGTCACCACAAAAATGATAACTGGATTATGTTAAAAGAATTAAGGTAAAACTCTTTTTGAAAAAAAATATATATACAAATCTATATCTTTCAAACAGACATCGTAAAACTTGAGATTTTTTATTTACCTTTGTATATGGGCGACAACACCCACCTTTGTCACCAAGTAAAAATTTCGAAACCTTTATTTAAGTCAATGATTTCAATATTTGAATTTCTTTGTTCCCAAATTAAGACCCAATCCTTTCCCAGATGCCTGGATTTGAATACATATGCAATTATCTATCTAGATGACATTTGAAAAATTGTATCCCTGCTGTTCTTAAGAAGAAGCTTTTAGTAGATTTTACTCTGATACATCCCATGTTAAATTTTAGCCCAATCCTTGAGCCACGAATTATGTTTTAACAACACATGTGGATATTTTATACATGTATTAATATGACTCACCGTGCCCAGCTATCTTAAAAAACATGTTTGTTTTTTTCTGCATATGACTATACCTACATACATAAGACCCTCTATCGTGGCCCCACCAAAGCCCTGGTTCAAAATTTGAAGAAATTTGAAGCAGCACTACATAGAGATGCTCACTTTATATAAATTTACCCAAAATACAGCGAGCATGCAGGATTTGGCATCTCTATTTCCAAAATTTTCCTGGGGAGGCCCCCGTACCCCGCCAGCAGGAGGGGAAAAAAACCCTCCCGCACCTACCCCCATCGTCGCTTCGCGACTAGGCCAGCAGCCTTTGACTGTTTGACAAAACTAATTCATGAACAGGGCTAGTGGAAATTAGAAATTGCTAACCCTGTGGGCTTCTGTGATTTTAAAGTTAGAGTCGATCCCTGCCAAGGGATCGTGATCTGAATAAACACTACCTGAGAATGTTTCCATATAAATATGACTAATCATGACTTTGCTGTTCCTGAGACGAAGGTTTTTATTTAAGATTTTTCCTATATTTTCCTATGTAAAACTTTGATCGCCCATAGTGACTCAATCCTACCTCAGGGGATCATGATTAGATCAAAACTGAAACTACACTTTATAATAAAGTTTTCACATATTAAGTTTAACTTTTCTGGCCCAGTTGTTCTTGCTAAGAAAATTTTTGAAAGATACCATTAAATTTTCACTTCTTAATCAACATTCCTTGAAAGACAATGTCGCCCTTCATGTGAACAAAGTTGAATTCACTTGATTGATTGTATGTTGTTTTACGTCCCATTCGAGAATTTTTCATTCATATAGAGACGTCACCATATACCGGTGAAGGGTTTCAAATTTTGACCTTTACTCGGCACTCAGGGCCATTGAGCAGTGAGGGAACTTTATCGAGCCAACGCCTGCCGTGACACAGGGCCTCGGTTTTTAAGGTCTCATCTGAAGGACTCGCAACTTTCATTTCAAAGTGCCGAGCGCATGGCGAGGGAACAGTTGCTACCCACTTTTTATCGACTTAGGTCAGTCGCGACCGAGATTCGAACTCACGACCTCTCGATCACGAAGCGAGCGCTCTACCGACTGAGCTACCGTGAACGGTGTTTTGGTGAAGAAGATGAATACGTAAAAAGCTTCGGAGGATGGACAATAAAAAAAATTTAATCAGAAAAGCTCAGGTAAGCTAAAAATTGTAATATTAAATCACCACAATACAACAAAATCACAGACTACAAAAGAACAAGAGGCTACAATGCTCACCTGAGTCACCTTAGCCTTTTTGTTTCTCCAGATTATTTTCAATAGATTTTCCCTTCTTTAATTTTGACCCCAAACTGTGGCCAAATTATAGCCCCCAAAGAATCATGACTTTACCAAACTTGATTTACACTATATGGGGATTACAAATATCAATATGACTAGTGTGACCATCTTTTATTGGAGAAGATATTTGAAACTATCAATGTGACAGTAAACTGGGTTTTCTTTTGTGGGAACAGTACTGGTATTTGTCACATAATTCATAATAACCTTCTGAAAACTGTAGAAGCTGACATCCCAACAAAATTTATGTACCCTAAAAGAATATTTTGCAAAGAAATTACTAAGTTCAACAGCTGGTATTTGTCTCATAAAAAATCAAAAAATAAAATCCAAGTAATATATACATCTCTCAAATAAGCACAATTGATCTGCAAAATAAAAAATCTTGAAAATCTGTATAAGAAGAGTTATCCGGACATCTGATATTTGTATTTTGCAAAAAAAAAGGCAAAGTTCAACAGCTGGTATTCTTCTCATAAATAATCAAAAATCAAATCCAAGTAATATGGATATCTCTGACATATTAGTACAACTGATCTGAAAATATAAAGAACTTTCTATTTTGAAAACTGTGACGAATTATCTGCACAAATGATGTACCTTATATGCAATGTTTTGCAAAACAAAGAGACTAAGTTCAACAGCTGGTATTTGTCTCAAAAATATCAAAAATCAAAATTCTGATTCCAAGTAATATACACCTCTTTGATATCATTATGTGTACATTGCTCTGCAAAATAAAAAAGTTCTTATCTTGAAAACTGTAGAGGGAGTTTTCCAGACAAATGATGAACCCTGTTTTGTGCAAAAATAAGAGACTAAGTTCAACAGCTGATATTTTTCTCATATTCAAATCAAACTCCAAGTAATATGCACATCTCTGATATATGTTCAATTGATCTGAAAATTTAAAAAGTTCTTATCTTAAAAACTGTGGGAGGATGTACCATTTTGGCCCGCCCGCCATTTTTACCAGTATTTCTACGGAAAACCCCCGGTTATTAATAATAAAAACTTGAATCCACACAATAAGGGAATGTTTGCTTATCAAGGTAATTTCAATTAGTTTTGCCTCTGCTATTTGCTTAAGATTTTAAAAAAATTCCCAATATATATTCTGATGTAACATTTTTTTTTGAATACTTATTTTTTGCCCTACCCTAGCTCCAAGGTCCATAATTTGGACAAATATAAATCTGCACACTGAGTGAGGATGATCCCATATTAAAATAATGTTGCATTGATGTTTTTTTTTTTTTAAAAAAAAGAAGTTTTTAAGAGCCCTCCCCCCCTTATATTTTCTCATGCAAAACTGATCCTCCTTTGTGGCCTCATCCTATCCCAGGGGCCATGTTTCGGACAATTTTGAATTTACGCTATCTGAAGATGTTTGCATATCAATATGACTAAAATTGATAAAAAGTAACGCAGAGATCTGAAGAAGTAATAAAAATGTATTTAAAAAATTAATAGTGAGACAAGACAGACGGACGACGGAAAAAACTTCGATCAGAAAAGCTTACTTGAGCCCTTTGATACTGGTGAAGAAAAAACTTCAATCTACGGCAAAGTGAATTTGAATCACTTATGCTAAAAAACAAGGTCATCTAATAAAAAAGAATTAATAATCATGGATTCATTTTATTCGTGTTTTTTTTTTTTTTTTTTTTTTTTTTTTTTTTTTTTTTTTTTTATTTTGTTTGTTTGTTTGTTTTTGATTTTTGGTAGTACTGAATAGAATGGCACAGACACAATATACCATTTAATCAGAAGATTAAAACTGTATATACGTATTCAGAAACATTACTTTATCCTAAAAAAAAGGAAAACTTTAAATTTCCTTTTTTAAAATGATACAGAAATCATATACATTACTGTGTTTCTTATGACGAATAATAGAAATTTCGAAGTTAAAAAGCTCAATAAGTTAATTAACACGAAAACCAAAACTTTGATACGTACGGTGTTCGTTCTGTACTTTCTACAGTGTTGAAAACAAAAAAAAAAAGAATGCATTTTTTTTTTTGAATCAAAATTGGATTTAATGAAAACTTTACCTAATAAACTTTACAAATTCATTTTCCATGATGTAAAATTTAGCTCAAGCAAATTTCTATTTGATGACAGTAATTTGACTTTTCAGTTTTGAATCAACGCAAGACTTCAATGTCGCTTTTTATGGAGAAAGAAAATCGTACGCTCTTTAATAGGATGATTGATGAATGTATATGACACTAAAATTCATAATTGTATAAAAATGTGCTCTTACATCAACAATTGTTAAGTACATACACCATACACAAGTGATGATGAAATATTGGAACTTTTTGTATCATTTCGAGGAAATTCAGATTTAACAGAATCAACACTGGTAACTTACTCTCTTTTTCCGCTGTAGATAACATCTCTTCCCGAATCATCGTCATCCTGTCGTTGATATGAGGAAGCGTTGGTTCGATGACGAAATGTACTAGACATTAAACAAGATCTGTTTAGTGAAAAAAGAAATAAAGTAAATTAAAAATTAATTTAAAGGAGAGGGATGGTCATATTGAGAAAATTGTAGGGGATTGGATGTAAAGCATTAAATTCTAAAACCCAAAGATGGTGTGCAACTGTTTATTTAATGCAGAAATTATATCTGAATTGAGAAAGACAAAAAAATCCAAGCTTATATACGAGGAAAGCAAGCCTTAACTTTACAGGGTTTACGAATTTTTTTAGGGAAAGATACGTTATACATAATGGAAAATGCACGGCATTGTATATTAAAAGGACAGAATCACTCGTGTCATTTCGTATAAGGGGCAGAGGAAACTTTCTGAAAGAAAGATATTACTGATGCTGTATATAGAAACATACATGGACAAGAGATGTTACTATGCTAGAGAAAATTAAAAATATAAAAAGGAAGTAATTAGACAGAAGTATTCTGTTTCAAGACAGGAATAAGACACCCTTTTCCGGAAGTTAACATACGATATATTTTCATATATACATGTACACATATTGGACACCCATTCAGCAAACCTCGGATGATTCTGTCGCCTTCATCAAACGATGAACTAGGAATCGTAGAACCCGAGATATGCCGAGTGTGGACAAACTTTTTTTTCAAACTTGTTATCCCTTAGATAATTTTCCAGAGCAATCATATGAAATATTAAAATTAAATTTATTTTGCAGAGCAAAATTATTTATTCTAGACACTCTATCAACTGTGTAATTCTGGTGCTACGTTTAAGAATTGAAAGTAATAAGCCAATCAACCAGAATACGGATTTATTATTCTACCGCGGTTACTGTCGGTTTCAAAAAAATGCCGCGGACATTATTCTACAATAAATCGCAAGCGTCATCAAAAGATTATCAGATAAGAAAAGCACATCAAACTTGTACTTGTGAAATGAATATATGACTTTAATACGTAATACTGTCCATTCTGACATATTTTATTATTTTAAATAAAATCTGCATCATGACGACTTTAAATTGAAAAATTCTAAATTTTTGTAGAGGACAATACCTTTTGTTAATATTTTCATCCACTGAATGTTATCTCCTTAATTTTAATGAAAACCACGATCATCTATCGATGCCAAACGTTAACGCCGCAAATTTATACAGACATAATAATATGTCTGTTCGTCCAGAATTTCGGCCATTATTTAGAGCATATACACAGTCGAGACAGATGTAAGGTGCATGTAATAAATGTCGCTGAAAAATTATCTATCCAAAATATTATGACACAGAAGGGAACTTCGTTTAAAGAATTGCAAAAAATAAATGTAGAAACTGTGCTGGAAAGCGACTTGGTCGATCATAAAAAATAAATAAATAAAATAATAAGGCAATGGATCTAACCTTTGGGACTAGGGCTGAGGGAAAGCCGAAGGGAGGAAAAGAGAACGAAGAGGGAGAAAAAATGATGGAGGTAAAAAACTTGGGAGTAGAAAGAAGAGAGCATTTTAATAATCCATTGAGGGAAAAGATGTGAACCCCCCACTCCCCGACACACACACGTGAAATCTACATTTTCTTGGAATGTGCAAAATGTCGAGATTAAAATACGAAGGTTTGTGTACGTGTATACGTATTTTCTTTCTTATCCATGGTTTTCTTTTTTCTTTTGTTTTTTCTTTTAATAATTATTAGATAGGCCTATTTTAAGTTGGGAGCATCATAGAGACTCACAATAATATTGTCTTTCAGCATTCTCGATAAATGAATCCTGGCAATGCATATAATCATATGAGAGCATTGTACGCAATCCTATACCAGTACCAACCGGTCAGAAAGGTCACATGTTTTTTACGTTTTCTGTCGTTTCAAAAAGAGTGAGAGAGATTTAGAACAGGGAACCCGGTATATGGAAAGAGTCTTAGCGTGTCATACAGAGGATGAAACAAATATTTTTTAGCATCCATAAAAATGAATCCTGACAATGTTCAATATATAATTTATTTGCCAATCATGGTCCCACGGGGGGGGGGGGGGGGGGAATAACATGGATGCAATATAATGAGCTGATAAGCAGGATTTGTTAACTTATAGGACAGGAAGAGCCACATCACCATACGAGTACCTACGTTTAAAAAACAATCCTAAACCAGTACCATCCAGTCTTTTTTCATGTTGTTCTCTCGTCTCTTTTTTCAAAACATCATTCGCTAAAATCAAATTTAGAAGGGGAAGAGGGATTTTTTTTTCATTATTATTAATTTTTAACACTTCACGTAGGGAGCTTAATAGAGGCTTGATACCATTATTTGTAAGCAAGCACCCACGATAAAAAGATTTCATTTTCTGACAATGTTCAATACAACTAGTAAAGAGTGCATTTGTAAAAACAGAGTTATCCTACCATCCGGTCAAATAAGGTCAACATTTTCTCCTTTAGTCGTTAGATTCTGTTATACTGAAATAAAAACAAAGTTTCTCTTACCGTTGATAAATCCTGTTCAGTTATGCAGGCGCTCAGAGTTCAAGCTATTGACAACATAATGGGGAGCATGAAAACACTACACTTACTGAATCGTAAACAAGAATAGAAGCGTGTATGTTGTGATTTGCGAGTTATCTCCCTTAGTCCAGTGTTAACTGCTTTGAGCTGCTTTTTTTCAAAGTCGACTGCCACAAAAGAAGCTCTGAGCACCAAAGAGCTCTAATATTGTAGAGTAGTTCTAGAGTGATCTGTCCTTAGATGTAATATAGAATAAATGGGAATCTACAATTAATGACACAATTTATAACGTATTTTTAAATGTACTCTTAAATAAGACCAAGAGAAGGCTTAGTGAAAGGGGGGGGGGGGGGGGGGGATGGTAAGAGAATCTGGACCTCTGAGATTTTCAGAGTTTATTTTTAGATAGTTGAGTAACATGCAACAATTCCCCCTCCCAGGAAACACGAACCCTCGTCAACTTTTAAGAAGAAACATTAAAGCAATATGAGCTGCAACTTTGATGTCGTAAAGTTTTGTAACTTACATTTTTTCTGGAGTGCTTTTTTTTCTATATAGAAAATCGAATACGATTTCATACCCCCTTTCCTTTTCCGATGACAATGCACATTGTTAAACTATACAAGAGCCATTGATTTCCATTTTATTCACAATCATGTGCCCTCGTAGCATTTTTCAAATGCTATAGCTTAAGAATTGGAATCTTTCAGATTTTTTTATCAAGTGCCAAAAATACTATGACAATATTGGATTTTTTTTGGTAATTGAAATTTAAACGTTGCTTTTTTTCTTGATTAAATTGATATTTTGTAGTCATTGCACACTGATTATTTACTAGAAATATATATACCTATAAAAAGAATAGACAAGAACTTTCTGTTGCCTGTATAACTTTTCTCTATGTTTGAAGTTCAAAATCCTAAATAAACAATAAATACTACTAATACAGCAATTATAAAACAGTTCGACTGTGGATCCTTAAAATAAGATTATATTTTCAAATAAATCATTAAATATAATATATAGGTGGCAAATACAAGTTCTTCAATCAACTATCTTACAGTACTTTTGTATATCGATAGTGCACAATCGACTTTTGATCCTTGAAAAAAAAATTACTTAAGATTGACAGGTGCGGATTCATGATTTTTTTTTTTCCAGTGAAAAGAATCTATTCCGTGTGTTGGGGTCCACGTTTTCTAGGGGGAGGGGGGGGGGGTTCCAAAGTCATTCTTTTGTATTTGCTTCAGTATGTACTTTTACTTACTAACTCTGCAAATTCCGGGGGGGGGGGGGGCACCCCCTCTAGTGTAGGGCCTCATATGTGCGCAAAAAGGTACATTTGACGGATACCTCATATTGAATCAACTGTCGACCGAAGCCTATCACAATAATAAAATTGGAACCGCAATTTAACATATTGACATTCCACTAGCAAAGAAACAGAAACTTTCCCTCCCATGTGGTTGACCATAGCATCAGAAATTTTACTTTACGAAAGTCGATCTCGCACATAGAAAATGTTACATATACCTTACAATGTTAATACCATATCAACAAAGTCTACTTATCTTGGCCTTTCACTCAACCTGTAAATCGGCATTTTTTTTTTTAAAAAAAAATGGTACTTTTAGTTTTTATGTAATTTTTCGAAATACTTGCCGTGTTGGAATGAATTCTTAAGTTTAAAAATCAACAAATCAATATCAGATACGATGATTTGTCAATTATTATTGCATTTTTTATTTCTTATAAATTTTGTTAATGTCGACGATATGTGCATTTATTTATTAAATACAAAAAAGTTTACTGTTATAAGAATAACTAAGGCGACGGTTTGAGTTTATGACTTATGACAACTGCACGGTAAAAGCAAGAAAAGACTGCAAAATGTAAGTGCCAGAAAAAGAAAAGTTGTATCTATTGCGTGGTTGTTATCGTCAATGTCAACAATGTCAAAGACAAGTGTCTTTTATTTTTAAAACTTGAAAACAACATTGAATTGGAGCAATCAAAAGTGAGAAATAAGTTCTGATCATCTTTTTTGAAGATTATTTCAAAATCCTCGGTCATCCAACATTAATATCTATGGAATTGACACCACGGTAACTTCTTCAACTTTTCTGCGCATGCATACCTTAAGGACATACGCAACGTATCTTACCTACTGATAAATTTTCAAGATATTCTTAATTTAAGATTATAGTGCCATCAGAAGTTCGTAGACAAAAGATCAGCATGCATTACCAGGGGTTTTGAAAAGATATCAATTGATGAAAATTCTTGTATAATTCAAAGAAAAATACACAAAAATTACAAAACATATATTCTAGATGTTTTGTTTATCCAAACTTATTTTAGAAGAAGCGTACAACAGCATATATAGACATAAAAATGTAGCACACAATTCCTTTAAGTATCGGAACTCTTCAAATCCAGGGAAAGAGACAATAAAGTTCAAACTACATTGTGTATGTCCTTAAAGAGCAAATTTGCATTGAAATTTTATATCACAACTTCTTATTTCCAAAAGAAGATACCTATTGATTTGGAGGTTGAAGATCAAGGTCAGAAATTCATATTTTGCAAAAGAAATATTTCCAGATAACTGTAGTTCTCCTTGAGCTTTTTCAATGAAGTTACATGTATATGTATCATAACTCAGTGACTTAAAGAAGACCAATTTTGATTTTAAGGTCAAATGGTCAAAGTCAAGGTCAGATATTCGTAGAAAGCATAAAAAAGGTTTTCCTTCGGCATTTTCAATGATATCTTATATCATAACTCTCAATGACTTTGAGGAGATCCCTTTGATTTTTGAGGTCAAAAGGTCAAGGTAAAGAATTATCTTGCATAAAATTATTTCCTGTTGATAACTCTACTTCTTTGGAGTTTTCGCAATGAAATCCTTTTGTCAATATGAAAAAAAAAGACTCCTATTGATTTTGAAGTCAAAAGGACAAAAATCAAATACAGAAATTTATTTATTGCTGAAAGTTCAAGGTTGATCTTTTTTCTTTCTACGTCTGGCACCCTGTTTATTTTTTGTCAGTTCTTCCACCCTCTTTTTTTTTCTTTAAGCGGGGGGGGGGGGGGGGGGGGAGGGGCACAAATTCTCTGAATTAGCTTGTTTGGTCAATAGCTTGAATATCACAAGTACATGTAATTCAATCTTTCTGTGGTATTCATAGCACATATCAATTTAATGGTTTAAATGATGTATTTGCATCTGCTTCTTCCAAATTTTTGTATTGCATGCTTAGGTTTGGAAGCCATCTTAATTAGGATAAATCATTTTCTGTATTGCGCTCTTAAAGAACTACGACCCCCCTTTGATCTACTTGATCAATACATAGGGCTCACGGCGGGCGTGACCGGTCAACAGGGGATGCTTACTCCTCCTAGGCACCTGATCCCACCTCTGGAGTTTCCAAGGGTCCGTGTTTATGCCCTGTTCATCACATATTCGTATTGTTTGTGGTTTTTATTAGATCGATCACTGTTTGTTATCTGACCCCTTCTTCATAGATTTTGCCAAAAAGATGCATTATTAGTAGGTCGTACTTAAACTCAAAATAAAGCTCTAAATAAAATATTTTTGAGCATGACACTTTGAAAGCGTAAAAATGATTTTTATGACGTTAGAGTGTAATTTAGGGATTAAACAGCGGAAGAAATACGCCAAAAGCGGAAGGGTAGGCAGGTCTGGAAACTTTCTTATTAAAATCTAAGAAACCCTGGTTTTCATCAAAACATTAAACATTCCATTAATTGCTCTTGTGCTTTTATATATATGCAAATAATTCCCTTCATTAACCAATATAACAAACAGGACACTTACAAATTTTTGTCTGATTTACTCATCATCAGAAATAAATAGGTAATATATGAGGACATTGAACAGTTAAGTAACCATAATTTAGCTGATCCATATGTTGCAGATGTCAAAATAAAAATCATTAAAAAGCTGTCAAGTTTCTGATGTGGGACAGGCTGTTACGCTTGAGTTAGAAAAAAAAAGGACGTTAATGCCTCACAGCGTCTTTCGCCGAAAAATGGTGACTGATTTTCTTCAAAACAGAGACGCTCTCTTCCAATCTGTGCCAAAATTAACGTGTGCATAATATACATCTTCTGCATAATAACGGCCATTGTAAACACACATACGAGTGTGCCTGGGAAAACATTCAAAGGTGCAGAATGATGATCGTCTGCCAAAGTTAGCGCGCGCAGTGCCGAGACGTTGCTGCTACTGTTGGGAAGTCATAGAAATTTCTTGGATTATTTTCAACAAAAAAGATATTTTTCTCCTACAAAGGTGAGTTTACGTTGATTATTTCTTGTAGAATATCGTGATTATGTTGCTGAACGAATATTTATTTCATTTTTATAATCATACGATTCTACATTACCATCTTTGTTGTGATAAAAACTATGAGTGCATAAACTACTTAACACATACATTCGTTCGATATATTAACGTTTTTATTGTAATCGATATGTCTACAATTCTAAACTGCATAATGGGCTCTTTATTTTATACTTGAAATAAAGTAGAAATAACAAAAGTAAAATCTAATACCAATTTATGGTTTTTATTTTAATTTGAAAATGCGAGCTCTAGGCAAATAAAAAAATGATCTTTTGCCCTTGATTCCGAAATATCCTCTACATTGTCTGTACGTGGTACCCTGATGGCCACCGCCGAAATACCAGGGACGTACGTTCTATAGGTTCCAGACACAAGGCTTCTTTTATACAGTATGCTAGTTTACTGTTAATATTATAACATGTATAGTAGTAAACTAACAAGCGCCTGTGGTCCCTGGATATACCATATCTCCAATCATCAGAGTCATTAACATCGTCCTTATTTTCATCATTATCCTCTAGTCTATCTCTTGTTTTCTTTTCATCCAAATAACTTATCACCAAGGCATATTAACAAACCAAGATATAACACATAATGTGTTTTGGGTCATTATATATTACATCATCATACAACTGAATTCTTGGGATCCCTTCTTTCTGTGTATCTCTAAATTATGTAATAATTGCCAAAGTACACGTGTCTTCTACTGGATGAGTACACGCTGAGATCATAAATATGGATATTGATTTTATCTCATTAATACATGAAAACAACAAAAAAGAGAGTCTCGATATGCTTGATTATGTTTTAGATTACGTAACCATTTGCATATCGTTATGTTTTAGGTTACGTAACCAACTGCAAATCAACAAGTATTCGTAATCTTTGGCCCTTATTAAAATAAATTTACACCAAGTTGTTGCAATGTATTAAATCATAAACAGTAAACACTGCCAATAAACTCATCAAATCAGAAGAACTGACCCAATCTAACGGAAATAAATGCTTTTATCAGCTCTACATCTCTTTATATACATGTAGGAGGTGTGCTAATAATGGATTTTATAAACATGCACTTTTACTATTATTGCTTTATCGCATTGACATACGAATTCAAAGGTGGGTAGGATTCTTTGGAACTTATTATTTTCAACACCTACTTTGTCACAGCCTTAAATAATCAGTTGACATGTTTCTCTTCTTCTGGTTTCTTGCCTAGTTGTTTAATTAGTTTTGAGGGCTGATGAGAATTTTAGCTAGCTTTTCAGAAAGTGTTGCCGTTTTGCGCTTGCTTAAATTTTCGCTATGTTAGTTATTAACTTTGACAGTTTGGTTATGGTTAATTTATTGGTTTTGAAGCAGTGGATTTGGTTGTTAAATTAGTTCTGCACAATTTCGAATATAGTTTGTACATTCTCATTCAAAGGTTGTCACCTACGCGTCTATAGTTCTTTTTCACTGGTTTGCAGTATACAAGTATGCAGATTTAAATGTGTCGGTTAGTTGACATTTTTCAGTATTGTATACATTTATGTTCCTGTATCACGCTCTAGAAAATGATATCAAGAATAACCACACTTAGAAGGATGTTGCCTAATATATATTCATGCATGATTTATTAAGTTTTTAAAAATACTAAGTAGTATAGAAGTTATTTTGTCTCTTTAAAATGTCATTGGATTCTAATTTATGTTTCATGTTTGTTTATTGATTAGTGGATGTGCAAGTTGTGTAACAAACTTTAAATATACAGAACAGATGTTACATGTACCTAGAAGCTTAGATAAATGTCCATGAAGAGGACAGACACAGCACAACAATAGAAACCATTTACCAGTTTACCAATTACAATTATGACAACGAAAATCATTTTTGGTTGTTTTCAATCAAATTTAGAAGGAGGTTCTTAATGTAACCGAGTTCAAAGCTCGATAACAAACGCACTACTAGGTAGTTAATTCAAAAAGACTCTGCAGTCAACATTTCACACCTAGAGTTTCTTCCTCGTTGTTCCCATGTACTATATGTGATCCAGAACCTTGCCAAATATTAGGATAAGAGCAGAAAGCCATAAAATCCTCTCGAAAATTGCTTGCCCTATTGTTAGATGTACGAACGCCGAGAAGATTCGCACGGAATGTATCTGGTTTAGCGTGAGATTTGCGTAATTATCTTCGGAAGTGTTGTGTATATATACCCTTGTATATTATAAGCTTATGCTGGAGCTGGATGCAGGTTTACCAGATACGTGGGGAATCTCGCTGAGTACTCAATTCCTGGTACAGTACTTACAAAACTGTTCTTTGTATAATATAGTACATGTACATGCAGCACTGTGCAAGATTTCTGGCAAATGCCTAGGTTTTGCAGATCTGCACGATGTTTGTTCTTCGAGATCATACAGTATAATATTGTCTTAATTGTAACTTATGGAACGCCATAGCTGCCTGAAGGTCATTTTCATTTTATATGAGGTGGTATAACCTTTATGTGAAGTGGTTAAGTCATTATATATAGTGGTAAAATCATTATATTCAATGAAAACTTTATTATACGCAGTGGTTTTATCTTTATATACAGTGATAAAATCATTATATACAGTGATAAAATCATTATATTCATTGATAACTTTATTATATGCAGTGGTTTTATCATTATACTCAGTGGCAATGTCATTATATGTAGTGGTTAAATAATGTAATGAAGTGATAATATCGATATATTATGTTGTAAAATCATTATATGCAGTGGTTTTTCCATTATATACATTACTGAAATCTTTCTGTGATGTGATGAATTCAATATATACAGTACAAAAATAATTTGTGTGATAAAGCAATCATTACATTGTATGAAACCCGCTGCATGTGGAGTGCCAAGTTAATTTCATTCAGTGCGACACCTTTACATGAAGTGAAAAATCTATTATGTGCAGTACTAACATCATTATATTATATAGTAAAATTATTATATACATTCCTAAAATCATGCTTTGCAGTGGTAACATCTTTATATGAGGTGGTTAATTAATTATATGATGTTGTTAATTTGTTATATGATGTGGTCAATTCTTTATATGCATTAGTCGTTTCATGTTATGCAGTGGTAACTTCATTATCATCATCTAAACTGCCAGGGTCCTTTTATTTAAAAAAATGCGCGGAGTTCCAGTTTAAAGAGTGTTTGAAAATAGGAAATCCGGGCCGTGGCAAATTAAAAGCTGGGACTATTCGAGTTTTTTCATAAAATTTTCAGACTCTTGTTTTAGGCTAATGTGTTTTCGCTGTAAAAATTGTATTTAAATACTTGGTATTTTAGATTTTCTTGACGATTTTTGGTTTCAAGTAAAATTGGTAGGCAGTTTCAATTTTCTGATTTAATATTTTATCTATTGTGCTATAAGTACTTAGTATTTTAGATTTTTTTTTTTTTTTTTTTTTTTTTTTTTTTTGGCGATTGTTGATTTCCATGTTGGTAAAATGGGTAGACTGGGTTGGCGATATTTTATGTGTGTGTGTGTGTGTTTGACATATTTGATAAAAATCTAATAAACTTAAAAATTATTCCGATGTTAAACACTGTATTTTAACTAAAAAAACTATTTATTTTTGATAGTTATTTCTTTATTTGAAAATGCTATTTTTATGCAAAATACACATTTTCATTAAAAAAAGGATTATTAAACCAGATCCGATCATCCGGGAAGAACCTGGTGCAAAACACCATAAATTATTTCTAATTTCATAATATGCAAATGTGCACTGGTACATGTATCTATATGCTAGTAGATGGAAGGAAACTGGATTACGTTAAATATGTAATTTGTTTAATACTTTTTTCGGGGGGGGGGGGGGGTTAAAATACTAATATCAACTATTTATAAGACTGTTTCTAAGACTTCAGAAAACCTTAAATCACATTGAAATGCTTAAAATAAAAATTGCTGCATGAAAACATTTCATTTTCAAGTTTCATCTTTGCCGTCGCCAACGTGGCACGGTGATCAGAGTGTCTGCTCTAAGAGACGCGGAATAAAGAGTCAATCCCTACATCACGGGTTCGATTCCGACAGTGGGACGTTGAGACCGGTCCTTCGTAAGAGACCGCATAAAGCCATAAACCGAGGTCCCGTGCCACAGTAGGTGTTGGAACGAAAAAAATCCCTCACTGCTCAATGGCCGTAAGTGCCAAGTATAGGACAAAATTTGCAGCTCTCCACTGGCAAATTGTAGCGTCTCCATATGAGTGAAAAATTCTCGAGAGGGACGTTAAACAGCAAACAAACAACCAAATTAAAATCATTTTAGCCTTTTTGAATAAAATGATAAAATTATAAGAGTTATCCTTCAAGGCTGAGGATCGGATATCCTTAAACCAAGCAACTTACGCGTGATTAAAGTCTGACACAAGGCTTTGCATTAATAGTCCTATAATTACATGTATATGTGATAATACTTTAATTAATTTATATTTTATCAAGTGACATGAAGATAATGAACAAGTATTTCGGATTTTTTATGTTTGACTTCCGGGAGATCAAATCCGATTTTAATGAACCATTGGCGTCGGAAGGAAATTGATAGTGGGGTGGCTAATTGAAATAGAAAAAAAAAATCAAACCTGAAAAAAAACTTGACAAGCAAAAAAAAAAAAAAAAGGAAAATTGTTCTCTCTCCAAACCCGAAAATCCTATTTCGGAGGGGGGGGGGGGGGGGTCGAACATCTTTCAGTACCAAATTCTTTTAAACACTACCAATTACCCTTCTTTCACTACAATGAATCGTGCCTGTAGAAAATGGGGAGGGGGGGGGGGCTAGACTACGCCCGAATTTTCAATGCCTATATTATGTCTACCTTTGTAAAAAAAAAAAGGGGGGTAATAGCCCCCCTCCCCCTCGGTTCCGACGCCTATGTGAACCGGTTTTTCTTAAACGTGTCATTTCACT